CTCTCTCTCTCTCTCATGGGATTATATCGCACGAACGACGAGAAGAGAAAAGCAGCGCGAAGACGCGCAGCGAAGTGCCACTTGGAAGCTCAAAGCGGCGAAATTACCAGCATTCCCGTTTCCAAGTTTTAATTGCGTGTCGCTGACGTAGGACTTTTCGTCGGAGCGACGCGTTGGGGCGAAAAGTATCTTCCGTTTATTTTTCACAGTGTTTTCGACGCTGTGTGTTGCACGACCGTTCGTTTATTTTCGTCAAGTCCTACATACAGTTATCGTTTAATCAACGAGAAATCACACTTATAATGGCTCCGACGAGACAAACACGATCGCTCCAGTTATTCTACATATTTCTGTTATTATTAATTGCTCGCTCGTCATCGAGCTAGAGCGCAATTTGAAAGCTCCATTTATTTTTAATTAAAGGAAAGAGTGAGAGAGAGAGGGAGGAGGGAGATAAGGAGGTTTACTAGATTCATTATTTACATTTGTTGGCAGTTTGATCGTCGTGACTTCGTTATTTTCTTCAATAACGTAACGGGGACGCGTTTTGCTTCAGTTATTAATGATCCACCGTCAGAAGGGGTGAATTTCGTCCTTGGCGAATCCATGGAATGAGAAAACTTGTGTGGGGTACGGGGTGTCGCGGAAGAGCCGCATAACATATTGCCTTTGAACGTTTGATATTAAATAACTTTTTACATCTTGACCCACGGTGCTTTATTCATTTTTTTCTCTCTCTTCGCCTAAGCGGAAATTATTTCAGGCAATATTCGACGAATATTATTCCCCTTCTGACTTTTATTAAGCGTGTCGCTGGGCGCGCCGGGATTTAATTAGCGCGGTAATGGCTCACGTCCGAGGAGACCGAGTGCAATCAGGACGTACATATGAAAAGGAATACCGCGAGGAATATTGCGGGCCGAGTCGTCAATCGCAAAAAGCCGCGCGGATATTATATTCCGCCGGGAAGATAAATTTCATTCGCATTCCTCCGGCGGAATTGAAAGTACTTGTGTACCGTATGCGCTTTGAAAAGAGCGACGAACGAGAAAAATTTCTCTCCCTCTCTCTCTCTCTCTCTTCGGTCTTCAATTGCGAAGAAGCGAGAGCGCGCTGTTGTTTCATCGTCTCTAAATGGAAGAAAGATGCGCTGCATCTGCAGTGATGCGCTTTTCCACCGTAAGTCGTAATTAAAGTGAAAGAGAGAGAGAGAGAGAAGTGGAAATGGGACGGGAGAAGAGTATCTGTGTCAAAAAAGTCTGGATGCGCGTGGAAACGAGGATCTTTTCAGGTCAAATGTTATCCGCGCGCCGTTGCGGTTGCCGTTGCAAACCGTCACGGGCTTTCGATCCCCCGAGGTTACCGCGAGATGTACTTCGCTCTAAAAATGTAGACGAAACATGGGAGAACCTTTTCGGGGTCTCTCAAACGTTATTCCGTGACATTGTACGAGTCGGTCTCGCTCGATTCGAGCGATGGACGTTTCTTCGGAGAATCGCAAAGGTTAGTTTCCGTCGCGATCTTTTCATCGAAATTCACGAGGGATCGAGCGGAATTATGAATATATAAAGCGGAGGAAAAAATAAAATCTAAAATCTCGATTACGCGTAATCCAGATCTTTCATTGATTTTATTTCACCCTCTTAATTGCCGCAATTTAACAGCGCTCTGGCCATCGGAAGTCTACGAAACCTACTTTATTTCCCGCGGATTTCCTTCGGAAAAAGAATGGAATCGCTCTCAACTAATACCTTAGCCTCTGCACGATATCCATAAATTACCGATACCAGGCCGTGAATAAAAAGGCGGAAGTAAGCCGGAAATACTGCCGGCGATTTCGCGCGCGAAGGAAAGGGTCGTTTAAACCGAATCGGTGCTTTTTCTATGAGGTGTTAAATTTCGCGGGGCGGCGCCGATTTGAACGAGCAAATGGTATATTTCTCTGTCGCGCGCGAACACAGATTCCGGAGGAAGAAAAATTCGCGACACCGGATAAGCATATAGCGCGAGCGGGCGCTCGTTGTGTATCCAGAGGTGTTAATCCCTCCGACAGGATCCGTTCTTTCTCTCTCTCTCTCTCTCTATCTATCTCTCTCTCGCGCGCGAACCATCTACCTTCATAATTGCGGTGTTGTCTCGCGTCAGAGAATAAAGACGTGTTCGTATGACCGCCGCCGCCGGGCACGGTTTATTCGCACGAACAACGGCCGAGTAATTTCGAGTATGCTTTTGTAAGCGTGTCCAACGTGTTTAACTCTTTGAGCCGTACATTTTATTTCTCGATGTTTGAATTTTTCGAAACGTGGTATTTGAGTATCATCGAGGTCGCTGATTACGAATCTGAAATCAGAGTTTTAAAATTCAAAACGGCACATAAACTCTGGCGCGATAACTCTTACACTTTTCGGGGATACCATACTCTTAACCTTGGGAATAGTCACCTTATTTTCTTTTTTTAAATAAACGGACATTTAGATCCCAATTAAAAACTGCTGTTATTAACAAAATATAGCATATTATCTATCTCTCTGATTTATTATCATTCAGAGGTACTGTAAATATAGATTTACTCGCTATTTTTTGAAAAAAAAATAATGAGAGGAATATAAGTAACGACGTGTCCGTTTCGGACGAACAAACATGACAGCTGTGAGAAGGAAAGTTTATTAGAGCCGGAGGAGGAGGTCGTTTCGTCATAAACGCATGACGGAGATAAATCTGCCGGCTGCAATCTCGCGACCGGCACGAAGCGACTCGGCTGACGGCCGATTTTATATTGTTGCTCGAACTTTCTACACGCGGACTCCTTCCCGCAGAAATGGAAGAGGGAAGAAATGGCGAAGGAAAATAATGCGAGGGGAAACGCGATAACGTGAGGGAAGAAGGTAGGAATCGGTTTATTATTCCAGAATGCGCGCGCGTAGGTAAGAGAATATACGCGAACAATGAGATCACGGCAATTTGAAATCAACACGGATTATCCAAAAATTGTTCACAAGTACCGCAAATAAGAAGGAATTATTAGTATGAACGAAATACACAGACGCAAAATGTGCATAACGTTTTCTCTTAAAGCGGATCGGTGATGACGTTTCTGATAAAACCACCCGGGTGGATATTCGGGCGTAAAGAAGCGTGATAAAGATTATGAGAAACATGGAAAATGTTCTCTCCCGACTGGCGAAATTATTACAGTACGAATATGCGAGAAGGTGTTACCTCGCTTCACTAAGTGAGAGAGAGAGAGAGAGAGAGAGAGAGAGAGAGAAACGCACTTTTACGTCCTCGCAGTGCGTTTTGCGAGAGTTTTGCGAGTTTCCCCACGGCGTTCTTCCAGTCGCAACTACCGAATAGAGTAGCGCATTTCGCGCGCAGCTCGTATAACGCGCGATATATTTCGCAGTCTCGCATTAAGTCGGACGAGTTCACGAGAGAGCCTGTAATCCCGCGGTCGGAACTGCCGGGCGAGATAAGGCCCGGTCAAGAGCCGGTGTCCCGCCGCCCCGAATTAAAAGCTACGAAAAGGAGGGACTTTAACATGCGGTAATGCCCGCCCGAATTCATTCCGGAATCCTCGTTAATGGGCGTTTAGGACGCCGTTAACACGTCGTTAAGATCACACGCTTTCTCGACGGTCTTCCCCGAGTAGAAGAATGTGTAGGGAAAAACTACCAGCCACT